CCAGAGCACAATGCGCTCCCTCCCCAGGGGCTGGGGCTTATATACCCCGGGCCCTGCCCACCGCCCTCCCTGCAATCACCTGGGGAAGCCATAAAGGGGCTGGAGGAGCTGCAGCTGCTTCTCTCCTGCTGTCCCTTTACAGCCCATGGAGCTTGGAACAGAGGAGCTAAAAAAAAAAAACACTGGCAGAAAAACAGGGGGCTTAACTCTCCTGTTGATAAAAAAAGCAATACATCAGCTATCTTGGACGTTACTACAGTCATCAGGTTTCGTTCACCATCTGCAATTTAAAAAAAAAAAATAAATAAAAAAATCCATAACCAGCACCAGCGAGAAGTATCACACAGGTCAGCGCCGACCTCCCCCACAACTCCCCATCCTCAGAAGGGTGATGCTGTTCTGCTCCCCTGATTGTTCCCAAAAAGCAATACATCAGCTATCTTGGACGTTACTACAGTCATCAGGTTTCGTTCACCATCTGCAATTTAAAAAAAAAAAATAAATAAAAAAATCCATAACCAGCACCAGCGAGAAGTATCACACAGGTCAGCGCCGACCTCCCCCACAACTCCCCATCCTCAGAAGGGTGATGCTGTTCTGCTCCCCTGATTGTTCCCAGTCAGACGCTGTCACCGTCGTCACTTCTGGAACCTGACATGCCAAGAAATAAAATTGGTGTCACATATGTGACACATTAATCTTGCCCAGACTTTGACTTTGAGAGACACCTCCAGCCGTTCGGCCCCTTTCTGAGCCCGGACCTGAAAAATGACAAGAGGTGGTTTTGACACTACAACGGCCAGGAAAGCCTGCATCCTGCTCTCCATCCATTCTCCACCCAGCCTGTAGTTGTGTCTGGGATTGCCGTGACCAAAGTGCAGGACCCTGCACTTGGCCCAGTTGAACTTCATGAGGTTGGCATGGTCCCACCTCTCAGGCATGTCCAGCTCCCTCTGGATGGCACTCGTGCACAAGGTCGTGTGAGAAGTTGAGGTTGGACAGCCTCTGTTTACTGTGTTCCTCCTCACTGATTAGCAACTCTGCTCTTTTTTCCTTCAGGGGATGCAATGCTCTCCATCCATTCTCCACCCAGCCTGTAGTTGTGTCTGGGATTGCCGTGACCAAAGTGCAGGACCCTGCACTTGGCCCAGTTGAACTTCATGAGGTTTGCATGGTCCCACCTCTCAGGCATGTCCAGCTCCCTCTGGATGGCACTCGTGCACAAGGTCGTGTGAGAAGTTGAGGTTGGACAGCCTCTGTTTACTGTGTTCCTCCTCACTGATTAGCAACTCTGCTCTTTTTTCCTTCAGGGGATGCAATATACTTATTGCTATAACTACCAAGGTCAGCCAATTTTCGTTATTTGCCCCTTAGAGGGTCGGAAATGGAAAAACGTAGAGGGGTCACATCTGTGGGGAGGAACCGACAGGAGAGGAGACCCAAACCTGACCAACTGGGGTATTCCATCCCATCTGCCCCACGCTCAGTGTAAAAGCTGAGGGATCAAAGGGTCAACTCTCCTCCTGCAATGGCCGACGTCCGAAGAGGACCCTGTCAGTTCATCTGCCTTTGATCCCGACCCATCTCCTGACTCCAGAGCTGGAATCCTGCTCCTGTCCATCACCCAGTCCAGGCTGGGACTTCCCCAGTGCCTGCTGGTGACGGGACCGTCATCCTGGGAGCTTGATACGGTTTTGTATATGTGTTGTATCTATTTCATGATTTTCTTCTCTTTTATTTTAATATTATTTTTGATTAAAGTAGTTTAGTTAATTCTAAACTTTTCAATCTCCTTATCTCTTCCTCTCCTCTTTTGGGGGGGGGGGAAGGGCCATCTGTTGGTTCGGTTGCGGTGATTTCGGCTGAAACCACGACACCCAGCCATTGGTGCCAACCTTGGGTCTGTCTAGACCTGTGTCTCCTGGGCCATGAGACAGCCCAGTTCCATGGTCGCTGTGCGTTGCACACACGCAAACAGGAATCCCACCCGTAGGTAGCCTTAAACACTTTGTGGTGGTGTCCTCAAGACCTCTACCTCCCATGACACGTGTTCCCTTCTTGGCCCAGAGAAGCTGTGGCTGCCCCATCCCTGGAGGGGTTCAAGGCCAGGCTGGATGGAGCTTTGAGCAACCTGCTCTGGTGGGAGGTGTCCCTGCCCAGGGCAGGGGGTTGGAACGAGGTGTTTAAGTTCCCTTCCAACCCAAACCCTTCTATGACTCTTCCACAGCCCCCTCACCCTGCTCTCCAGCCGGGGGTGGATGACTCTTTAGTGCTCCACTGTCCACCTGCCACCTCGTTTTGCAGGTGCCATCCATGGAGGTCCTTGCCTTCATGGGAGACTGAATGGACTGAAGCATTGTTAGCTGTGAAAACTGGCGACTTTATTCCAAGAACTGTCAGCTTCAACATTTGTGCCTGGTCAGAGGAGAGTGGGCAGGACAGAGCAGGCCTTTGACACCCAGGCTGCCTTTGGACCAGCTGGTTTTGCCCAGAAGGAAATGGTCCTGGTCCACTCTTCATCCTGCTGCTGAAGCCTTTTTTCCCTTTAGGATCTTCAGCAGCTCCTGCAGCTGATTAAAGAAATTCACCAGCTTCCGGCGTGGAAACAGACAGGGTGTAACTCTGCCCTGTGTCGTTGGTGGCCTTGGCCTCGTGGAGGGGGTTGAGGTGAAGGCTGGCTGTGGTGTTGGAGTAGCCGATAGCGGTGGGTGCAGTCCCATCTGTGTCAAGATCCACCTGTGGAAGTGCTGGGTGGAGGTGTAGACCCCGGGGCGATGGGCTCTGGCGCAGCCTTGCCCCCAGCTGGTCACCCCGACCAGCCAGAAGAAGTCCGCGTTGCTGTCCTGGCAGATGAGAGGACCCCCGCTGTCGCCCTGCAGCCAGGAGAGAGGATCATCAGGAACAGTTGGCCTGCAGGACTGGGGCAGTGGTCACCCCCCGTACCCAGCACTGGTGAGTCCCCACCTCAAGGGCTACGTTCAGTTTTGGGCCTCTCACTGCAGAAGAGGGACATGGTTCAGCGTTGGGTTTTGGCAGCGTTAGGTTGGTGGTTGGGCTCGATGACCTATAAGGTCCCTTCCAACCCGGACAAACCTATGATTCTGTGACTGAGGTGGTGTTGGGTGGCCACTGTCAGCACAATGGCTGACTCCTCTCCCAGCACCCACCAGAGCTGAACCCGCTGCCCAGGAAGGCTCTGTCAGGTCCAGGAGCCCACACAGCTTTGTCTGGGAGGGTGTCATGGGCCTGTTGTCTCCCATCCCTGAGCTGTGGTCCTGGATGTGTGGAAGGTGGGTGTTTCGGGAATGGGATCTGGACCTATGGGCTACGAAGAGCACTGGGTGGGCTACGAAGAGCACTGGATGGGCTATGAAGAGCACTGGATGGGCTACGAAGAGCACTGGATGGGCTACAAAGAGCACTGGGTGGGCTACAAAGAACACTGGACGGGCTACGAAGAGCACTGGATGGGCTACGAAGAGCACTGGATGGGCTCTCTGGGCAGAGTCCCCGGCCTCTGAGGGACTGGGGGCTGCTGGGCAAGTACCTGCAGATGGGGAAGGGGAGAGGAGCCCCAGGAGCGGTGGGACGGGGACTTGCCAGGCAGAGCCCGTGGCAGGGTGGGTTTGGTGGCTCCTGTGCTGCTGGGGTGGACCTGAGGAGCCTCCTACCTGGCAGGTGTCGATGCCGCCCTGCGGGTAGCCAGCACACAGGTTGTGGGTGTGGATGGCCCCCGCGTACCACCGGCTGCTGTTACAGCGGTTGACATCAATGAGGTGGACCTGGGCCTCCTGCAGGACATCAGTTGTGTCTCCAGCTGCGAGCACAGAGAGGAATCGTAGAAGCACAGAATGGTTTGGGTGGGAAGGGACCTTAAACACCACCCAGTTCCAACCCCCTGCCCTGGGCAGGGACACCTCCCACCAGACCAGGTTGCTCCAAGCCCCATCCAGCCTGGCCTTGAACCCCTCCAGGGATGGGGCAGCCACAGCTTCTCTGGGCAGCCTGGGCCAGGCTCTCACCACCCTCAGAGTGAATAATTTCTTCCTAATATCTCATCTAAATCTCCCCTCTTTCAGTTTAAAACCATTACACCTTGTCCTAACACTCCCCTCCCTGATCCAGAGTCCCCCCCATCTCTCCTGGAGCCCCTTGAGGGACTGGAAGGGGCTCCAAGGTCTCCCCGGAGCCTTCTCTTTTCCAGGCTGAACCCCCCATCTCTCTCAGCCTGTCCCCACAGGAGGGATGCTCCAGCTCTGGCCATCTCCATGGCCTCCTCTGCACCTGTGCCAGCAGATCCACGTCCTTCCTGCACCGAGGACTCCACACTACTCCAGGAATTACCACCCAGCAGCTCATTGCCAGTTCTCCCCCCCCCAGTTTGGGTGAACCCCTCTCCCTGGGCTTGGCTTTGCATCCTGGTACCAGTGTTTCCCTTCAGTCTTGCTGTGGACACTGGGCCAGGCCCATCTCTCCGTAGATACATCCCCTCGCCCTGTCTCTGGCTCTTGCCTCTGCTCCCGGGAAGCCCAGCCCGTGTCCCCAGCGAGCCAAGCTTGTCCTTTTTGGGAACTCACATCTTGCAGTTGTGGCACCCCAACCACTGACGTAGCAGGTCGTCAGCTCCGACACCCTGAGCGAGGGGTCGGGCAGGCAGGCGAGCTGGACGTAGGAGCTGCACTGGACGGGCTGGTCCAGCTCCAGCAGCGCGATGTCGTTCCTCTCCGAGACGCTGCTGTAGTGTCTGTGGGGCAGGAGCCGCTTGATGCTGCGCACCTGGGCCTCGGGGCCGAGCTGAGTCAGCTGGGTGGCCCCGAGCACCACGCGCCACATGGTGAGGTTCCTGGAAGGCAGATGGAGATGATGGGGTCACGTCCCGCAGCAGCCCAGCAGTTGTCTGCCCTCTGCTTCCCCAGGGAGGGAGGAAGACCATGGTACAGAGGGTGCGACGGCCGCCCTGTGCGTCGGGCCCAAGCGATGTCGCGCTGGGGAGCGATGGCGCCAGCCCAGGCACTGGGCAAGGAACCGGGACGGGAGCAGCAATGGAGCTGGCACAGGGCACCTTCTGGTGTGGTGGGGACAGGCCCGTGCCCCGGGGCCTCTCACCTGACGTCGATGAAGCAGTGGGCGGCCGTGAGGACCCACTGGGGGCTGATGAGGGACCCTCCGCAGATGTGCCTCAGGCCTGTTCTCCAGGGCTGCTGGATGCTGACGATCCAGGGCCATGCCCCTGGCTGGGCGTTTGTGCCCCCCACCACGCGCGACTTGCCGTCGTGAGCAGCCATGGGCCGGAGCCCGCAGGTCCCTCTGCAACCAAAAAGCTCGTGATTGTCCTGCCCCAGGGCTCGTTGGCCTTCTCAGGCTGAAGGTCACCGTCCACCCTCCCCACGAGTGGCTGCACCCCAGGACCCCACGGGGTGCGTGTCCGTCCCTCGTTCTGCACTAGGCCCATAGACAAGTTGTGCCAGCAGCCGGGGGGCTGGCCAGGATCGGAGGCCCCCATCCCACATGGGCTTCAGGAAGCTGTGGCTTGGCAATGGGGGACACGCAGGACCCCCCCAGTGAACCCCATAAGGGTTGCCCAAGCTCCCTTCCAGCCCCTCGGGCCACTTACTTACCCACAGGTGTCCCATGTGCCTTGCAGAGGCCGGCACAGGGCCAACAGGAGGAGGACAAGGAGCAGGTTCATGGTGCCCAGCGACACGTGGCAGCTCCAGGAGCAGAGATCCGGGTGCCACCAGTGCGGCACCGATGTCCCCGCGGCGCGTGCAGTGTCCGTGGTGCCCCTGTCCCCGGGGCTGATGTCACAGTCACTGGTTCCGGGTCTGGTGGGTCTCGGAGGGGGGGTGGGGGGTCCCAAGCCAGAGAGGGGGCAGAAGCTGGACTGGACACCCCCGGCAGACCCCTGCCCGATTGTCTGCTCGTGCAGACGCACACAACTATCAGAAGAGACAGGGAACAGCGGGGAAATTATGGATTTCTCTCTAACAAGGAGACCAGCTTCTCGGTGGTGTGAGCTACTGCTGGGAGGGGATGGGGCCAGCAGTGTCTCCATCAAGAGCTGCAGCACGTTTTTACTTCTCTCTTTTGATCGTCACCAGGAACCACAGTTAATGACCAGCAGATCCACCGGCTGCGCTGAATGTGTCAGACCCCCTGCCCGTGCGGCATCCATGGGACATCCCCACTGTCACAGCAAAGCCAGGAACACCTTGTAAGGTGCCACGTTCCTCCATAAACTCATCCTCTGCTTGTGGTGTGTCACAGGAATTCAGGCTGCCACGCTGTGCTTCCAGTCACCATTCCCTTCCAAAACCAGCCATCCATCCATCATGTGTCTGAAAGTGAAACAGTGCCCTATTTCAGTCCCCTGTCAACAAGGGCGTGAGGATAATTTGGTTTTTTATAAATAAAGGTGCACTGAGGTTCACAAGAACTGTAAGTGGCCCAGCTCCATCATTGATATTATATGTCATTTTTAAAGGTTACGGGTAAGGTCGTATCTTTTCGTGACACTGACTATAAATAAGGGACCTGTTGTGGATCAGCTGTGAAAATATTTAAGGCAAGTGGACTTAATATTTGCTTTGAAAATGCCCAAAGAGCAGGCAGTCACCTGGAAGATTTGCACTTTGGAGGCTGCTGCTTTGTGTGCTGTTTACTGGACGGTTCAGTTACACGCTGCGGAATTATTTATCGTATTTAAATACACTGCAATGTTATTTGTATTCTGAAGTTATTCCAAAAAGAATCGTGTGCACTCTCATAATTGGGGGATACTGGATCAGGAGGGATCTGGGCTGCCCTTGAGAGAAACGCACATCAGGTGGGTGACATTTGACAGTCACTTGACCTTAAAGGGGATGTTCGGGAAGATCCCGTTTGATGGGATCAAAAAAGATGTGTTTGTGTATTTGTAACAGGAGTACATTGAAAAAGACAAATGTCACGAATTGGCCAGTTGGACAGAGGTGGAGAAGAGATTTCACAAGGTTGCTCTGAAGTGGAGCTGATCCTGCCTGAACTGTCCCCCCTCCAGCTGCTTCGACCAGGGCTGGCAGCACTTCTGGAAGTTTCTCTGTTTTGCCTACACTTACTTCTATGAGGCAGTGGAATTTTTACCACATTTATTTTCCAAATAAAGCCTTAGTGTGGTTGTTCTCCTCAGGCCTTGACCCGCAGCGAAGCATCGTGTGGTTTTACAGAGGGAAAAGGGAGAAAAAGAAAAGTCCGTGTACTGCTTCTTCTCTGGTGGAACCATTCAGTTCATCCAGCACTTGTTGGACCTGAAGCTGGAGACGGATCTTTATTGCCTCGTAGGAAACCCAGGGAGGAGCAGGGCTGGCTCTGAATTTCCTCCACCTCTGGAGGAAAACCCGGGGTCCCTGAGCTTGTTGGTCCCAAACGTGCCCATCCTCATGATGAAGAGGTCTCCGCTGACAGAGGTCCCGGCTGTTCCCTCTGCTCTTTGGGGCACTTGCACCCTTGAGGAGAGCAGTTGTGGCACATGGTGTGAGTGTCATGACGGGGAAGAAGGGAGCCGTGGTGTCGGGGAGCCCCAGGACCTGCTCCCCCCGTTCTCTGTGGGCTCTGCTGGGGCTGGGGGGACCCCAGGCTTCCAGGCTGCTTCATCCCCCTCGATCAGACCTTCTGGGGAAGCACCAAGCCCCTGAAGGGGCTCTTTGTGCCCCGGGCGCTGGGCAAACACGGCTTATCAGAGACGCTGCGGCACAACCATCTCTCCTCCTGCCAGGGGAGCTCCGTCCCGTCCCCAAAATTAACTCTGGGGACAAGCAGGTCCTTCACCGCCGGGTGCCACCAGTGCGGCACCGATGTCCCCGCGGCGCGTGCAGTGTCCGTGGTGCCCCTGTCCCCGGGGCTGATGTCACAGTCACTGGTTCCGGGTCTGGTGGGTCTCGGAGGGGGGGTGGGGGGTCCCAAGCCAGAGAGGGGGCAGAAGCTGGACTGGACACCCCCGGCAGACCCCTGCCCGATTGTCTGCTCGTGCAGACGCACACAACTATCAGAAGAGACAGGGAACAGCGGGGAAATTATGGATTTCTCTCTAACAAGGAGACCAGCTTCTCGGTGGTGTGAGCTACTGCTGGGAGGGGATGGGGCCAGCAGTGTCTCCATCAAGAGCTGCAGCACGTTTTTACTTCTCTCTTTTGATCGTCACCAGGAACCACAGTTAATGACCAGCAGATCCACCGGCTGCGCTGAATGTGTCAGACCCCCTGCCCGTGCGGCATCCATGGGACATCCCCACTGTCACAGCAAAGCCAGGAACACCTTGTAAGGTGCCACGTTCCTCCATAAACTCATCCTCTGCTTGTGGTGTGTCACAGGAATTCAGGCTGCCACGCTGTGCTTCCAGTCACCATTCCCTTCCAAAACCAGCCATCCATCCATCATGTGTCTGAAAGTGAAACAGTGCCCTATTTCAGTCCCCTGTCAACAAGGGCGTGAGGATAATTTGGTTTTTTATAAATAAAGGTGCACTGAGGTTCACAAGAACTGTAAGTGGCCCAGCTCCATCATTGATATTATATGTCATTTTTAAAGGTTAAGGGTAAGGTCGTATCTTTTCGTGACACTGACTATAAATAAGGGACCTGTTGTGGATCAGCTGTGAAAATATTTAAGGCAAGTGACTTGAATATTTGCTTTGAAAATGCCCAAAGAGCAGGCAGTCACCTGGAAGATTTGCACTTTGGAGGCTGCTGCTTTGTGTGCTGTTTACTGGACGGTTCAGTTACACGCTGCGGAATTATTTATCGTATTTAAATACACTGCAATGTTATTTGTATTCTGAAGTTATTCCAAAAAGAATCGTGTGCACTCTCATAATTGGGGGATACTGGATCAGGAGGGATCTGGGCTGCCCTTGAGAGAAACGCAGATCAGGTGGGTGACATTTGACAGTCACTTGACCTTAAAGGGGATGTTCGGGAAGATCCCGTTTGATGGGATCAAAAAAGATGTGTTTGTGTATTTGTAACAGGAGTACATTGAAAAAGACAAATGTCACGAATTGGCCAGTTGGACAGAGGTGGAGAAGAGATTTCACAAGGTTGCTCTGAAGTGGAGCTGATCCTGCCTGAACTGTCCCCCCTCCAGCTGCTTCGACCAGGGCTGGCAGCACTTCTGGAAGTTTCTCTGTTTTGCCTACACTTACTTCTATGAGGCAGTGGAATTTTTACCACATTTATTTTCCAAATAAAGCCTTAGTGTGGTTGTTCTCCTCAGGCCTTGACCCGCAGCGAAGCATCGTGTGGTTTTACAGAGGGAAAAGGGAGAAAAAGAAAAGTCCGTGTACTGCTTCTTCTCTGGTGGAACCATTCAGTTCATCCAGCACTTGTTGGACCTGAAGCTGGAGACGGATCTTTATTGCCTCGTAGGAAACCCAGGGAGGAGCAGGGCTGGCTCTGAATTTCCTCCACCTCTGGAGGAAAACCCGGGGTCCCTGAGCTTGTTGGTCCCAAACGTGCCCATCCTCATGATGAAGAGGTCTCCGCTGACAGAGGTCCCGGCTGTTCCCTCTGCTCTTTGGGGCACTTGCACCCTTGAGGAGAGCAGTTGTGGCACATGGTGTGAGTGTCACGACGGGGAAGAAGGGAGCCGTGGTGTCGGGGAGCCCCAGGACCTGCTCCCCCCGTTCTCTGTGGGCTCTGCTGGGGCTGGGGGGACCCCAGGCTTCCAGGCTGCTTCATCCCCCTCGATCAGACCTTCTGGGGAAGCACCAAGCCCCTGAAGGGGCTCTTTGTGCCCCGGGCGCTGGGCAAACACGGCTTATCAGAGACGCTGCGGCACAACCATCTCTCCTCCTGCCAGGGGAGCTCCGTCCCGTCCCCAAAATTAACTCTGGGGACAAGCAGGTCCTTCACCGTGAACATCTGAATGGCCACATCCTGCTCAGGGACAGCATGGCCTGGGCACAGGGTGAGGGCAGGGAAGGGGACTCCCTGGGGACAAGGGTCTTCGGTGATCCCTGGCTGAGTCCCACCACCCAACCACCCCCCTGAGCTGAGCCCTCATCTCCCGACACCCAGTATCCACCAGTGCTCCCCATCGCCTGCAGGGACTGGAGATCCCAGTCACCTGGCTGTCCCCATTGCCCGTGTCCCCCATGTTGTCCTCCCACCTCCCAGTATTCCCTAATCCCGGGGTCCTGGTGCCCCAAGGAGAGGGCTCACTCTCAACCCCGTGTTTACCCAAGGGGCTGGAGAGGGGTCACAGAATCACAAAATCACAGAATTTCTAGGCTGGAAGAGACCCTCGGGATCATCGAGTCCAACCATCCACCCTACTCTAACGTTCTCCCCTACACCATATCCCCCAACCCCACATCTAAATGACTCCTAAACACACCCAGGGATGGGGACTCAACCCCCTCCCTGGGCAGCCTCTTCCAATGCCCGACCACTCTCTCTGTGAAGAATTGTTTCCTAATGTCCAGTCAGAGATTTTTGTGCTTAGAGCCCCCTGGTTTGGGGCTGGCGTCCCCTCTGGGGCATTGCTGGGTGGAAATTCTGTTCTGGGAGGTGAGAGGCACCAGGAGATGAGGGGAACCTGGGCTTGAGGGGATGTTAGGGGATGGTTTCATGTTGGAGCCATCTCCGTAGGGTGTCCATCTCTCAGGGGTGCTCTGTCCCATCCCCTCTCACCCCCCCGAGGTACCGGGGCCTTTCCCTGATGGGTTACCCCTGGCAGGAAGCTGGACTGATGCCGGGGCCGGAGGTGACTCTGTGCTGAGGGTGGGCTTGTTGCCAGGGCTGGTGTCCCTGCCAAGCCTGGCTTTGCCCTGGGGGCTCTTGGGGTGGAGAGTTTGGGGGGGCGTGGGGGACAAGGAGGAGTCCTGGGGAGGATAAATGTGCCCCTCGCCTTCTCCAGCCTCACCCAGGACTCACCACACCGCAGAGGAAGATGAAGGTGGCAGTGATCAGCGTGGCCCTGCTCTTCACCATCCTGCTGTGCACCCCGGACGATGCTCAGGTGAGTCCCCGGTGTTGGGGAGGGGCTCAAGGCTGGGGAGGGGTCTGTGCTGCAGGACATCAGCTCTGCTGCAGAATGAAATCCCAGGGGTGGGTACAAACCCCCTGGACTTGGCCTCTCCCTTTCCTGCCAACAGGAATCTGAGGTGAAACATGGAGGAAAGGGGCTGGGGGGAGCAGGAGGCATTTCCCGCTCAGGCCAGGGGGAAGCCTTGGGCTTGGGGAGAGTGGGGAGACCCCTGCCTCACCCACAGCCCCCCATGGTCCCACCAAGACCACCCCTTTTCTCTCTTCCCCCAGGCACTCTTCGAAGCAAGTGGAGGCTACTGCATAGGAGTAAGTAGTTGGGTCTGGTGGAACCATTCAGTTCATCCAGCACTTGTTGGACCTGAAGCTGGAGACGGATCTTTATTGCCTCGTAGGAAACCCAGGGAGGAGCAGGGCTGGCTCTGAATTTCCTCCACCTCTGGAGGAAAACCCGGGGTCCCTGAGCTTGTTGGTCCCAAACGTGCCCATCCTCATGATGAAGAGGTCTCCGCTGACAGAGGTCCCGGCTGTTCCCTCTGCTCTTTGGGGCACTTGCACCCTTGAGGAGAGCAGTTGTGGCACATGGTGTGAGTGTCATGACGGGGAAGAAGGGAGCCGTGGTGTCGGGGAGCCCCAGGACCTGCTCCCCCCGTTCTCTGTGGGCTCTGCTGGGGCTGGGGGGACCCCAGGCTTCCAGGCTGCTTCATCCCCCTCGATCAGACCTTCTGGGGAAGCACCAAGCCCCTGAAGGGGCTCTTTGTGCCCCGGGCGCTGGGCAAACACGGCTTATCAGAGACGCTGCGGCACAACCATCTCTCCTCCTGCCAGGGGAGCTCCGTCCCGTCCCCAAAATTAACTCTGGGGACAAGCAGGTCCTTCACCGTGAACATCTGAATGGCCACATCCTGCTCAGGGACAGCATGGCCTGGGCACAGGGTGAGGGCAGGGAAGGGGACTCCCTGGGGACAAGGGTCTTCGGTGATCCCTGGCTGAGTCCCACCACCCAACCACCCCCCTGAGCTGAGCCCTCATCTCCCGACACCCAGTATCCACCAGTGCTCCCCATCGCCTGCAGGGACTGGAGATCCCAGTCACCTGGCTGTCCCCATTGCCCGTGTCCCCCATGTTGTCCTCCCACCTCCCAGTATTCCCTAATCCCGGGGTCCTGGTGCCCCAAGGAGAGGGCTCACTCTCAACCCCGTGTTTACCCAAGGGGCTGGAGAGGGGTCACAGAATCACAAAATCACAGAATTTCTAGGCTGGAAGAGACCCTCGGGATCATCGAGTCCAACCATCCACCCTACTCTAACGTTCTCCCCTACACCATATCCCCCAACCCCACATCTAAATGACTCCTAAACACACCCAGGGATGGGGACTCAACCCCCTCCCTGGGCAGCCTCTTCCAATGCCCGACCACTCTCTCTGTGAAGAATTGTTTCCTAATGTCCAGTCAGAGATTTTTGTGCTTAGAGCCCCCTGGTTTGGGGCTGGCGTCCCCTCTGGGGCATTGCTGGGTGGAAATTCTGTTCTGGGAGGTGAGAGGCACCAGGAGATGAGGGGAACCTGGGCTTGAGGGGATGTTAGGGGATGGTTTCATGTTGGAGCCATCTCCGTAGGGTGTCCATCTCTCAGGGGTGCTCTGTCCCATCCCCTCTCACCCCCCCGAGGTACCGGGGCCTTTCCCTGATGGGTTACCCCTGGCAGGAAGCTGGACTGATGCCGGGGCCGGAGGTGACTCTGTGCTGAGGGTGGGCTTGTTGCCAGGGCTGGTGTCCCTGCCAAGCCTGGCTTTGCCCTGGGGGCTCTTGGGGTGGAGAGTTTGGGGGGGCGTGGGGGACAAGGAGGAGTCCTGGGGAGGATAAATGTGCCCCTCGCCTTCTCCAGCCTCACCCAGGACTCACCACACCGCAGAGGAAGATGAAGGTGGCAGTGATCAGCGTGGCCCTGCTCTTCACCATCCTGCTGTGCACCCCGGACGATGCTCAGGTGAGTCCCCGGTGTTGGGGAGGGGCTCAAGGCTGGGGAGGGGTCTGTGCTGCAGGACATCAGCTCTGCTGCAGAATGAAATCCCAGGGGTGGGTACAAACCCCCTGGACTTGGCCTCTCCCTTTCCTGCCAACAGGAATCTGAGGTGAAACATGGAGGAAAGGGGCTGGGGGGAGCAGGAGGCATTTCCCGCTCAGGCCAGGGGGAAGCCTTGGGCTTGGGGAGAGTGGGGAGACCCCTGCCTCACCCACAGCCCCCCATGGTCCCACAGCTCTGCTGCAGAATGAAATCCCAGGGGTGGGTACAAACCCCCTGGACTTGGCCTCTCCCTTTCCTGCCAACAGGAATCTGAGGTGAAACATGGAGGAAAGGGGCTGGGGGGAGCAGGAGGCATTTCCCGCTCAGGCCAGGGGGAAGCCTTGGGCTTGGGGAGAGTGGGGAGACCCCTGCCTCACCCACAGCCCCCCATGGTCCCACCAAGACCACCCCTTTTCTCTCTTCCCCCAGGCACTCTTCGAAGCAAGTGGAGGCTACTGCATAGGAGTAAGTAGTTGGGTGGACGCTGAGGGCATCCAGTCTGCAGAACTGGGAGGCCATTGGGTCCTCCCATTGCTTGGTGGGACGGGGGACATCGCGGTGACCAGTGAGATCTCGTGGTCTCTTTGCAGGGGGGTTACAAGATCGGGAAAGTGAAGAGGGATGTGGTAAGTCCCAGAAGATTTGTTGCCCCAGACCCTTCCCCGCCATGGCCACAACACTCCAGGGCATCCCCGTGTGCCCCAGTACACCCCAGTACACCCCAGTACACCCCAGTGCTCCACACTGCAGTGCCAGAGAACACCCCAGTGTCTTCCCAGGGAGCCCCCCTTCCCCTTGGCCCCCGTTACATTCCCATCCATCCCATTACAACCCTGTAGGCCCCAGTGCCCCCCAGTTCACAGCCACACACCCGGGTGGGCCCCCTCCCCAAGACACCTATTCCTTTCTGTGCATCCCATCAAACCCACGGACCCCATCTTTCTGTGAAGGCCCCTTCCCCCAGGACCCCACTGCTTCCCCCTGCACCCCCTGCACCCCCGCGTGTCCCTGACCCTCCCTCTCTCCCCAGCCCCTGATGGACGAGAAGCTGGTGGAGGTTGCGCGTCAGAAACGCATGGCTGAAGTGGCTGAGGCCTAGGTGAGCAGCATCGGGGGGTCTCCAGCCCCACAGCGGGTCCTGGGCCTCAGGGCATCCCCCAGCCCCCCGGGGTGGGCAGACCTTGGCTCTGGGAGAGGGCAACAGAGGGGACTGTCCATGATCCGTGTCCTCGGGTCAGCTGGACAGAGCTGCTCCCAAGCCCTTCCTTGCCCAGGTGGGGCTCCAGGGACCCCCAGGATCCCCGTGGGGGCCTGGCAGGGGCTCGGGTGCCAAAGAGACCCCCAGGATCCCCGTGGGGGCCTGGCAGGGGCTCGGGTGCCATAGAGACCCCCAGGATCCCCGTGAGGGCTGGGCAGGGGCTCGGGTGCCAAAGAGACCCCCAGGATCCCCGTGGGGGCCTGGCAGGGGCTCGGGTGCCATATGGACCCCCAGGATCCCTGTGAGGGCTGGGCTCCCTCTGGGAGATTTTTGGGGTATCCCCGGGTAACGACACACTGGGAAGGGGCCCTGGGTGCCAGACGGGTCCCAGGAGAGCCAGGTCCAGTCCTGGGCATTGTGAGGGCTCCAGTTCCCTTCTGCTTCTCCAGGTCCTTGCAGAGAGAGACGGGGGGGACAGGGCCCCTCTCCTGTCCCACAGACACTGGGGGTCACATTTGGGCCTCTCTTCCAGGACTGGAACCAGTGGTGACACCCGTGTCCTGTCCTCGAGGAGATGATCCCCCCTGGATGACCCTACCTGATTCCCTCGGAGCCCGGGACCGTTTCCCTCTCATGATCAATAAACCCCTTCAGCAAAGGCACGCTCTGTGTCTGTGTGTGTGTCTGTGTGTGTGTGTGTCTGCGTGTGTGTGTGTGTCCCCAGAGCTTTGGGGTCCCGGGTTCTCACTGGGACTCTCGTGAGCCCCACAGGAACAGGGATATGGAATAGGAGCCCCCCTGGAGAAGTCACCCCTCTGCCCAGAATTGTCCTGACGTGGAGCCTGGGCTGAGGTGGAGCAAAAAGAGGCAGAGCTGTCCCTCAGGTCACGGGAAGAAGCCGCAGAATCATTTAATGTCACAATTAGTGTGTTATTCAAAGCGTGGGGGGAGGGAGGGGGGAGCAGGGAAGGGGTTGCCTGGTTTTGGGGTTTTTCCCTTTAAAGGACAGGTAAGATTCTGAGCGGTTCCGCCAAGAATGGGTTGTGTGAAACCAGAGACACGTAAGGGGGGGTTTGGACTTTTAGCTGATTCTTTTTTTTGGGTTGGAAAGAGTCTCCTCAGGGACTGCTGTCACTCTGGAGATGGGTGTCACTTTTGCCAGACACCAGTTGGCCGGGACCTCCCCAGTTTGCCAGGACTGCTGGTCAGTGATGGAGAGTGGCTCATTGAGCACTTCCACCAGCTCCCTCAGACCCTCGGGTGGATCCCACCTGGGCCCATGGACTTGTTTGTGTCCAGGTGCTGGAGCAGGTCCCTCACCGCTTCCCTCCTTCACCCCATCCCAAACAACACGCACCACATCACCCCACGAGTGGCCAGCACAGGCCTGCGATGGGGATCCCCAGTGACCTCCCGGGTCCCCAGTGCTGTGAGGTCACAGGCAGGCAGTGATGTCACAGGGACAGGCGATGAGGTCACAGAGACCCTCTGGAAGGTATCCTGGTGCCGCGGGCAGTGCTCCGGCAGTGCTGGCAGTGGCAGCAGCAGCAGCAGTTGCAGCAGAGCCAGTGTCAGTGTCAGCTCCAGTGGCAGCGTCAGAGCCAGTGGCAGCATCAGCAGCAGAGGCAGGGACATGGCGCGGGGGCCTGTGACCCCCACGCGCCTCTTCCTCCTCCTCCTCTTCCTCCTGCTCCTTCCAGCCCAAGAGGCCTGGGCTGCTCCATGGAGGGCACGGGAATTAGGTAGGTGGGCAGCCCGTGGGGTGGCCGTGGGGCTGGGGTGGTGGTGGGGCAGGAGAGCGGTGGAGCAACGACACCGAGCTGTGTGGTGTTGTCGATCCACCAGAGGGACGGGATGTCATCCAAAAGGACCTGGAGAGGCTGGAGAGGTGGGCCCAGGTGAACCTCATGAGGTTCAACAAGAGCAAGGGCAAGGTTCTGCACCTGGGCCGGAACAATCCTCACCATCAGCACAGACTGGGGGGTGAGGGGTTAGAAAGCAGCCCTGAGGAAAGGGACTTGGGGGTGCTGGTGGAGGAGAAGCTGGACATGAGCAGGCAGTGGGCAGCTGCAGCCCAGAAGGACAATCCCATCCTGGGCTGCATCAGAAGATGCGTTGCCAGCAGGTCCAGAGAGGGGATTCTGCCACTTTACTCTGCTCTGGTGAGACCTCACCTGGAGTATTGTGTGCAGGTCTGGAGCCCTCAATATTAGAAGGATATAGACCTGATGGAGAGGGTCCAGAGGAGGGCCACAAGGATGATCAGGGGGATGGAGCACCTCTGCTACGAGGACAGGCTGAGGGAGCTGGGGTTGTTCAGCCTGGAGAAGAGGAGGCTCCGGGGAGACCTAATGGCGGCCTTCCAGTACCTGAGGGGGCTACAGGAAGGCTGGGGAGAGCCTGTTTAGAAAGGCCTGTAGTGACAGGACGAGGGGAGCAGAACAGATTTAAACTGGAGATGAGGAGAGGGTTCTTCACTGTGAGGGTGGTGGAGCACTGGAACAGGTTGCCCAGGGAGGTGGTTGAGGCCCCTTCCCTGGAGATATTCAAGGAGAGGCCTGGTGAGGCCTGATGAGGCCCTGGGCGACCTGGTCTGGTTGGGGGTGTCCCTGCTGACTGTGGGGGGGTCGGACTGGATGGCCTTTGGAGGTCCCTTCCAGCCTGGGCAATTCTATGATTCTCTGATTCTATGAAATTGTCCCCAAAGCGTCCCCGTGCCCCCCGGAGCAGCCTTCCCCCAGCCTGCAGGTCTGGGCCGGAGCGGCGTCGCTGGAGCTTCTTCCCCAGGCTGGTCCCGGGGCCGTGGCTCTGCTGCTCCCCGGCTGGATCTCAGCTTTCAGCCTGGGGGACGTGTGTCCGGGGGAGGTGTCCGCTCAGGACAAGAGGAGCATTCCTGCTCCAGCCCTGCAGGGCTCTCCTGGGGCCAGTCCCATGGGACACAGAGCCCCGGGAGATGACAACATCTCATGGAAACGTGCTTCATTGCAGCTGGAGCCGACGGCCACCCGACCTCGGAGACGCGTCTGGTGCAGGAGCCTCAGGGTCACCCCACAGGTTTGTGGCTGGAAGGAGGGAGCATTGAGGTTTGAGGGACCTGTTGGTAGGAAGTTTGCCTGGGTCCGTCCTTGGCCGATGCCCGGGCACGCAGCAGAGCCCAGAGGGAGTGGGTCAGGCTCAGGGACGTGCCCCGGGACTCTCTGCCTTGCAAAGAGTTGTGTCCCAGCCTCTCCCACCCTGCGCCGCTTCCAGTGCCTGCTGCGAAGCCAGCGGGCTGGTTGGGATGGAGTTTGGAGCTGGAGGGAGCTCCAGGGAGTCCTTCCTCCCAACAGCTCCGGGCAGGCTTTGGGGGGAGCAGAACAAGCCCGTGTTGGAGCTGCAGATGGGAAGAAGCCTCTGGAACTGAACTCTCTGCTCTCCTTTAAGGTCCTCACGGAGCAAAGCATGAAGCTGAGAGAAGGAAATCCTCTCACGGGTCGTCGGGCGTCCTGAAGGAGCTGCTGAAGGAGTTGCGGAAGGCAGCACACGGTGAGCACACAGCGCTCTGCACCAGAGGGATGGGGAGGAGGAGGTTTTGGATCCCTGTCTGGGGAAGCCGTAGCCTCCACAGAGGCTCCTCAGAGCTGTTCTGGGCAGATGTTTCACTGAATTTCACTGAAGGTTTAGAGTTGGAAGGGACCACAGAGATCATCCAGTCCAACTCCCCCGAAGACCATCTCGGGGGGCTTTGCATTTCTGCTCCCAGTTGTGTCTTCGGTAACTTGGGGGTGGTTCCCCACATCTTTGGGGGGACTGTGGGCTCTTGTGGGCACGGGTGAACCCCAAAGTGTCCAGTGCTTAAATTGTTCTCCATGAAGGACACGTTTGTAGCAGGGACGAGGTGCACCCCCAAATTCCCCACCTTTGTTTCTAAATGTCGTTCATGTATTTTGAGAAGCGTTGCCTCCATGTTCCTGATGAGGAACTGTTCTTTCTAATTAAACTGACCTCCTTTCTCTCCACAGCGATGGACGAGAAGGCGCTCCAGGAAGGAGGCGGTTGGGCAGTGCCCGACTCTGATGAAGAAATGGAGGCAACTCAATCAACAGGTAATTGCTGTCCCACAGTCATCCAGCCTCCCGAATCGCAATCCCTGGGCGTCTGCAGGCTCTTCCCCTGGTGCTGCGACCTCAGGGGGTGTCAGCAGCCACACTATTAGCAAAGGGCAATGGTACCGAGTCAGCACAGAGCACAAGGAGTACGGAGAAGGGCTCTCTGAGGAGGACTGTCCCCTCTGGTGTGTGGAGGTCCCACCACAGCCCCTTCACCTGAGCTTCAGGACTTTGCCCTTTGGGGAAGGAGGGTCCCTGAACTACCCTCAGCAGGTGGTGGGAAATGGGACTCTTGATGGGACGTACCTCCCGTGAGACCTGCCCCCCAGAGCTGGCCGTGAGTCCTGGAGGCACAAGAGCAGCAGGGGATGCCTCCTGTGACCTGGGGTCCCAAAGGATGCTCTGGCAGATGGGGCACGGCGTAGAGGGACCCCGCACCCTCCTTCGCCTGACCCCGTCCCTCGGCTGGGGAGGGAGGAGAAAGATGCTCCAGAGCCCTGATCTCCAATGGCTTCTACCGAAACCAGGGACACGTGGCAGCCCCAGGATGTTCCCTCACCCAGAGATGCTGACAAAGGGAGAGAGAACATCTGCTGGCCACGTGGGACCTCCTGTGAGGTCACGCTGACGGACAGAACTGCTCCTCCAGGTCTGGAAGACACCAGAAACCTGTTTTCCGTGGACCCTAAAGACTTTCGGAGGCTTTGCACAGAAGGTGCCATGGCCATCTTGGGCTCGGTGCTGTTTGGGATGATCCTGTGCTGTGGGTTCTGCGTGTGGAAGCAGAGGAAAGAGTAAGTTGTTGTGGGGGGCAGGTGCCCAACATCTTGGGGGGCTGCTCTGAGCCGTGAAGCTTGGAGAGGTCGGGGGTTCTGGGGTGCCGAGTTGGGTGGTGGCCAACGTCTGTTGGGTGATGCCATCGATCCTTTGGCCAAGGTGAGCAGCCAAGATGGCCGCCCTAGCAGCCAAGATGGCCGCCCTAGCAGCCAAGATGGCCGCCCTAGCAACCAAGTCTGCCCCCTCACCAACGGTGGGGCTCTGGTCCCTGCAGCAGCGTGTGTCCCTGCAGATCCCTCCTCTGAGGAGGGGATGGGGAGCACCTCAGGGAGGTTCTGGGGTGCCGAGTTGGGTGGTGGCCAAAGTCTGTTGGGTGATGCCATCGATCCTTTGGCCAAGGTGAGCAACCAAGATGGCCGCCCTAGCAACCAAGATGGCCGCCCTAGCAACCAAGTCTGTCCCATCACCAACGGTGGGGCTCTGGTCCCTGCAGCAGCAGCGTGTGTGTGTCCCCCTGCAGCAGCAGCGTGTGTGTGTCCCCCTGCAGCAGCAGCGTGTGTGTGTCCCCCTGCAGCAGCAGCGTGTGTGTGTCCCCCTGCAGCAGCAGCGTGTGTGTGTCCCCCTGCAGCAGCAGCGTGTGTGTGTCCCCCTGCAGCAGCAGCGTGTGTGTGTCCCCCTGCAGCAGCAGCGTGTGTGTGTCCCCCTGCAGCAGCAGCGTGTGTGTGTGTCCCCGCAGCAGCGTGTGTGTCCCCG